AAAGTTCACTGGAAGGGGAACAAAAGCAAACATGGAATAAACCAACCAAGAAAGTTCATACTGTCCCATTCCATTGCCTCTTTCTCCATAGTTAAAAAGGGATTCCTAACTTACAGAAAACTGTAGCTAGTTTGATCACAAAAAAAAAAAAAAAAAAAAAAAAAGGCACCAGCACTTTGGGAGGCCAAGGTGGGTGGATCACAAGGTCAAGAGATTGAGACCATCCTGGTCAACATGGTGAAACCCCGTCTCTACTAAAAATACAAAAAATTAGCTGGGCATGGTGGCGCGTGCCTGTAATCCCAGCTACTCGGGAGGCTGAGGCAGGAGAATTGTCTGAACCCAGGAGGCGGAGGTTGCGGTGAGCCGAGATCGTGCCATTGCACTCCAGCCTGGGTAACAAGAGCAAAACTCCGTCTCAAAAACAAAACAAAAAAAAAAGGCAGTAATCTTCTAAGGCAATAATAATAATAAAACTAAAGATAAGAACATATTTTTAAAAACCTTAGCAATTTTAATAAAATAAGATAAAGGTTAAAATCCAATGCTGTTAAAATCTCATCAGAAAGTAAACAAATGAAAACAATAAAAGATTCTATTTGCTTGAGTTTTATTTGCTTAGGTTATGTAATTATGCTTGTCTCTGTATCTTAGTTTTAGTAACACTGCTTTTTTTTGGTATATTGTTAAATGTTTAATTGCACAAAAAGCAATGGATCTCAAACTAACCAACAACATGAGTCTATCCGCCTTGAAATTGCTTAGAATATTTTCTTAATCAATTAATGTATGCAAATTAATGTGTGCAAATAGGCACTTTGGAAAGATTTGTTTCAGACATCCAAACATGGAAACACCCCTCGTGAGAATTCGACTCTGTTCTTAAATTTATCTTGAGTTGGGATTATAACAGAAAGAAATGTGCTGTCTTTTTAAGAAATCTGGGCCAAGTGTGGTGGCTCATGCCTGTAATCCCAGTGCTTTGCGAGGCCAGTACAGGAGGACCCCTTGAGGCCAGGAGTTCGAGACCTGCCTAGGCAAGAGAGTGAGACCTCATCTCTAAAAAAATTAAATAATTTGCAACACAGGGTGGCAAACACCTATAATCCCAGATACTCAGGAGGCTGAAGCAACAGAATTCCTTGCACCCAGGAGTTCAAGGCTGCAGTGAGCTATGAGCATGCCATTGTACTCCAGCCAAGCAAGACACATCTCTCAAAAGTTAAAAAAACAAATTGGGAGGCCGAGGCGGGTGGACCACAAGGTCAAGAGATCGAGATCATACTGGTCAACATGGTGGAACCCCGTCTCTACTAAAAATACAAAAAATTACCTGGGCACGGTGGCACGTGCCTGTAATCCTAGCTACTCAGGAGGCTGAGGAGAATTGCCTGAACCCAGGAGGCGGAGGTTGCGGTGAGCCGAGATCACGCCATTGCACTCCAGCCTGGGTAACAAGAGCAAAACACTGTCTCAAAAAAATAATAATAATAAAATAAAAAATTAAATTAAATTAAAATCTGCACTAGGGTTTTGCTACTCCTCCATACTCTAAAGAAGCATAAACTTTTCTTTCTATGGTGGGCCACTGAGCCTTTCATTCAGTTTCTATTTCAATTTTTAGTTGAAGGCATGCTCTACAGAATAGTTTCTAGCCACATAAGAAGATATAGTTTATTTTCTCTGGAAATTGGGTCACAAGGACACAGATAGAAATCATTCAAGGAACAAGGCCCTGTCCATGTTATCTGGTGACATGAGATTGCCAGATGACAAATCCATTACACGTCTTGCATTTCCTTTGGTCTGGTATTATCTGTCAAAACACTGTCAACCTTGCTCGATTTTTCCTAATCTTCTCCTTTGGCAGCATCATTAGTCTTTATTGAATGGCTTCTAACTTCGTCATTCACAATTCTTCACGGTGAGAGTTCATCAGAATATGTTTTTTCTATATTTTTAACGAAATTCAAGTTTTTACTTACAAAATTTTTTTAATTGGTGAGCTTTTCCCTTAGAACTATTTTAGATTTCCAGAAAAAGAAAGGGGGGGCGAAGTGCAGAGCGTTCCCATATACTATAGCCCTTACAATACTTTTAAACAGACCAGGCACACCTCGGAAATATTGTGGGTTCAGTTCCAGCCCACCACTGTAAAGTGAAAAGCCCAATAACGTGAGTCACACAAACATTCTAGCTTCCCAGTTCATATGAAAGTCATATTTACACTATATTGCAGCCTACCAGTGCAATAGCATTATGTCTGATTAAACAATGTACATATCTTAGTTTTAAAATACCTTACCGCTTTAAAACTGCTCACAATTATCTAAGTCTTCAGTGAGTTGTAGTGTTTTTGCTGGTGGTGAGTCTTGCCTCCATGATGCTGCCTTCTGACTGATCATGATGCTAATTACTGAAGGTTGGGTGGTTAAGTCATTTCTTAAAAATAAGACAATGAAGTTTGCTTCGGAGATTGACTTTTTTTCAATTTATTATGAGTTTGCAGCAATGCAGCCACATATTTGGACACCACTTTTAATTCTAATTGTCTTGCTGTTTCCACCATATCTACAGTTATTTCCTCCACTTAAACCCCTCGAAGTCATCTATGAGGGTTGGAATCAGCTTCTCCCAAAGTCCTGTAGATGTTGATGTTTTGTCTTCTTTCCATGAGTCATGAATCTCCTTAATGACATCTAGAATGGTGAATCTTTTCTAGAGGGCTTTTAATTTACTTTGCCCAGATACATCAGTAGCAATAGCCTTATGAAATGCATTCTTTAAAGTCTTACTATTGGTCTGTGGGCTTCAGAACGGGTGTTGTGTTAGCAAGAGTGAAAACCACATTATGTTGTTTATATTTAAAACATAAATAACATATTTAACATATATATTACAATTATGTTCAAATATGTATTTTAAGTGTCATTTTGAATATATGAACATATTAACAATGCTACCACTCACTCAAGAGCTCTGATGAAGATATACAAGAAGACTAATGTTGTTTTCAACATTATAAACATAAACAACATAAAGTTTTAAATATATATAGTTATATATAAATCTATATAAATTATTTTTTGTGATCAAAGCTAATCATGATTTTCCATAAGTTAGGAACCCCTTTCGAACTATGGCAAGAGAAACAATGTAATGAAACATTATAAATCTTCCTTGTGGGTATACATATATATATATATAAAATTTTTATATATTTATATAATTTATATATATAAATTATATATAATTTTGTGATACTTTTTGTGATATATAATATTGTGATAATTATATATATGATCATATATATAATGACATATAATTATATATAAATACATAATATAAATATATTATCACAAAAAATAATTTCAATATATTTATATATAATTATATATATTTAAAACATTATGTTGTTTATATTTATAATGTTGAAAACAACTTTAGTCTTCTTGTACATCTCCATCAGAGCTCTTACGTGAGCAGTAGCATTGTCAATATATTCATATATTCAATAATTAATATATAAAAATTATATATTAATTAAATACACAAATATATATTATATATTAATATAACATGTAATTTATACTAATTATAATATTAATTATATTAATTATAACATATATTAATTATAATTTATATAAATCATATAAATATATTTAAAGTATATATACTTAATAATTTATATAATAATTATATAAATATATAAAAAGTATATAAATTATATATATTCTCCACATGTTCTGACTCATAAGTGGATATTGAGCAATGAGAGCACATGGACACAGGAGGGGGAACATCACACACCGGGGCCTGGGGGCTAGGGGGCTAGGGGAGGAATAGCAGGGGGTGGAGGGACTGGGGAGGGATAGCATTAGGAGAAATACCTAAGGTAGATTACAGGGCAATGGATGCAGCAAACCACCACCATGGCATGTTCACACCTATGCAACAACCCTGCGTGATCTGCACGTGTACCCCAGAATTTAAAGTATAATAAAGAACATTTTCTCAGCTTTTGTAGAATTAAAGTTAATATTATATATCTGTTTAACACTATATTATCTATGTTTTATATATGATATACATATTAAATATGTTTAAAACATATTCAGATACATATTATGTTTATGATATAATACATATTTTAAATATGGCATTTTGAATATTTTAATATGTATATTTAAAATATATTTAAAATATATTTGTTTACGTTATAAGGTATATTTTAAATATATTTAATATGTATATTATATATTAAAAATATAATATATGTTAAACATATATAATATTAACTATTTAAGTCTATGAAGGCTGAGAGAATATATATAATTTACATATATAAGTTATATATATTAATTATATAAATACATAAACGTTTATATAAATATTTATATATATTCATATAATTATATATAGTTTGCATTTATAATGTTGAAAACATTAGTCTTCTTATGCATCTCCATCAGAGCTCTTGGGTGAGCAGTGGCATTGTCAATGAGCAGTAATATTTTGAAAAGAACCTTTACTTCCCGAGCAATGGGTATCCACAGTGGGCCTGAAATATTCAGTAAGCCATGCCATGACCAGATGAGCTATCATCCAGGCTTTGTTGTTCCATTTATAAAGGACAGACTAGGTTTAGCAAAATTCCTAAGGGCTCGAGAATTTTCAGAGCAGTAAATGAGCATTGGCTTCAATTTAAACAATAGCCCCTAACAAGAGAGTCAGACTAACCTTTGAAGTTTTAAAAGCAGCCATTAACTTCTCCTTTCTCGCCATGAAAGTCCTAGATGGCATCCTTTTCCAGTGGAAGGATGTCTCATCTAAACAGAAAATCTGTTGTGTGGTGTAGTCACCTTCATCAGTTATCTTAGCGAGATCTTCTGAATAATTTGTTGTAGCTTTTCTAGCAGCACTGGCTGCTTCACCTGGCACTTTGTTACCAAGACGGCTTCTTTCCTTAAACGTCATGAACCAACCTCTACTAGCTTCCGGCTTTTCTTTTGCAACTTCCTCAATTCTCTGAGCCTTCATCGAATTAAAGGGAGTTGGGGCCTTGCTCTGGATTAGGCTTTGGCTTAAGGGGATGTTCTGATGGCTGGCTGGGTCTTCTATCCAGGCCACTCCAACTTCTCCGTATAAGCAATAAGGTTGTTTTGCTTTCTTATGGTTCATGTGTTCAGTGGAGACACTTTTAATTTCCTTCGATGAGTTTTTCTTTGCATTCACTACTTGGCTCCTCAGTGCAAGAGATGTAGCTTTCAGCCTGTCTCGGCTCCTGACACGCCTTCCTTAGTAAACTAATCATTTACAGCTTTTGATTTAAAGTGAGAGACATGTGACTCTTTCTTTTACTTGAACCCTTAGAGGCCGCTGTAAGCTTATTATTGGGACTAATTTTATTATTGTTTGGTCTCAGGGAATAGAGAGATCTTAGAAGAGGGAGACAGATGAGGAAATGGCCAGTAAGGAGAATAGTCAGAACACATAAAATATTTATTGATTAAGTCCATTGTTTTATATGAGTGCAGTTTGTGATGGCCTGAAACATTTCATACTAGTAACACCGACAATCACTGGTCATGGATTATCATAACAGATATAATAAAAATAACAAGGTTTGAAATATTATGAGAACTACCAAACTGTGACACAGAGACAGGAAGTGAGCACATGCTGTTGGAAAAATGGCACCAGTGACTATATCAATGTAGACTTGCCACAAACCTTCAATTTGTTTAAAAAAGAAACCAGAAAAACAAAACACAACACGGTATCTGAGAAGTGCAATAAAGCAAAGTACACCAAAATGAGTTACGCCTGTACTTTAACACACTTACCACGGTATAATGTATTAAAACTCTACCCAAGGTTGACAGACTGCAGAGACTACCACTTTTGGTATAATGTTTTCTTAGGGTTACATTCATTTTCACATGGTTTGCAGGCAAACACACTCATCCTGTGAGCCTGCAATTCACATCTCACTTGGTAACACAATCTTATGACAGCCAATGAAAATAAGCATTCATTAATATTTTAGAATGGATTTTACGGGAATATTAGCAAGGAATAAAATGCAATTCAAAAGAAAAAATGTACTTCTTATAGAACAAGTGGTTCCAAATTAGAAATACGAAAAAGGATAAGAAAAGATAAAGGATATTGAAATTTAAGGGTTTTTTATATTTATGTAACTCTAGTTACAGACCTTTTTCCTCGTGTAAACTTTTATCCCTTCTAAAGAGAATGAAGGGCTTATCCTTACAAATCTAAGTGATGACTGTGATATAAATTCTTCCTTCATTTAAAAAACATTACAACTTGATTAGTCCAACAAAATACATTTCTTATACAGAGACCAGAAATATCAACACTATGGACCCAACTGTGACTCCTGAGTTTGCAGAGCTAGAGAATCCCACTTGGGCTCCTGTAGCACCATTCCAGGACCCGTGAGACTATGGTAACTGGAGTAGCACCCACTCCAGCTCCTGTCCTCATCAGTGTCCACAGCCCACCTAGAACCCCTCCCCTACTCTTTGCCCAAGTCCTTCGACTGGGGGCTGATCCCTACTTCTGGTTCAGGGCTGGCTACAGTGATTGGCTCAGGATGGGTACATGACGATCCCTGCTTCTGGTTCAGGGCTGGCTGCAGTGATTGGCTCAGAATGGGTACATGACGATCCCTGCTTCTGGTTCAGGGCTGGCTGCAGTGATTGGCTCAGGATGGGTACATGACGATCCCTGCTTCTGGTTCAGGGCTGGCTGCAGTGATTGGCTCAGGATGGGTACATGACGATCCCTGCTTCTGGTTCAGGGCTGGCTGCAGTGATTGGCTCAGGATGGGTACATGATCCCAGTTATGCCAAACAGCGTGTGATGAGCAACCCAGGATTGTGCTGAACCTGTCTGGGGACAGCAACTTTCTCCCAGGAGTGACCAAGTCAGCAGATGTTTGCTGGGAGCCATTGGCAATCTTCCTGCCTCCAGAAGAAAAGAGGCTTCCTGGGAAAAATCAAGACAGGGAGACAAGTTGCTAAGGATTCTGCTTGAGGACATGGACCCCACATTCCTGGTATCAGTCCACCTTGGAGCTTTTCCTTTCGCATGAGGAATGTAAGCCATCTTTTATGTTGGATTTTATTAGTATAATATCAGATAAGCACCCCAGCAAACAAGAGGAAGTATTCCACCTTAAAACACAAATTCCCCTTTACAAAGTTAGGAAGAAAACCAGTCAAACTCCACTCCTCTTAGAATCAACTGTGCAGAGTGTGACAGGTGACGCTGGCTGCCCATTCTCTCACCTGTGTGCCTGGGAAGCAAAGCTGGCCACCAACGCAGAGCCAGATGAGGCCAGGTACCATTCTCCAGAGAGAGGTATGAGATTTGTTGCTCACCAGTGGGATCTGAGGGAAGCCTGCTGGGAGTACTGTGGGAAAGATTTTATTTCATGGCTAAAGTGAATGTATGAGAACAATGTCCTCTGTTGCTGATAGACCTGGGCAAAACTGGCGATGCCTGGAGGAACTGCACCCATCTTGAAAACGTGATACGGTATGCCTCTGAATGTGGTTGAGTGGAAAAAGAGAGCCTCTGGGTGACATTGTTGTGCTGCTGAATTTACCAACCATGGAATTACCTGCCTCTGCACTTCGTATGAAAGGTAACAATTCCCTATTGTTTCAGCCACTGTTAAAGAGGTGTTCTATCAACAGGAGAGCTGTCCCTGAGTAGTTGTGACTCCAGCTCTGAAAGTTTTCAGCAGCAGATAGAGATTTCCAGAAGTACCACAGGCTAAATTAGGTTTCAGACTTAAAGGCATAGGGGTAACGGTCACAGACCTGGATACGGAATTCGGGATAGGAGGCATGGGAGTGCTTCATCACTTTCCCCTCTGAAATGAAACTTCAAAGGGATACAAAATTACAGACAGATAGGAGGAAAGCATTCTAGTGCTCTATGCCACAGTAGGTTGACTACAGATAAGAAAACCCTACATCGTTTCAAATAGCTAGAAGGAGCACAAAAGATAAGTGTTTGAGAGGATGATATGCTGATTACCCCCATTTGATTACCGTACATTATGTCTATTAAAACATCACTATGGGGCCGGGCACGGTGGCTCAAGCCTGTAATCCCAGCACTTTGGGAGGCCGAGGCGGGTGGATCACGAGGTCAAGAGATCAAGACCATCCTGGTCAACATGGTGAAACCCCGTCTCTACTAAAAATACAAAAAATTAGCTGGGCATGGTGGCGCGTGTCTGTAATCCCAGCTACTCAGTGAGCCGAGATCGTGCCATTGCACTCCAGCCTGGGTAACAAGAGCAAAACTCCGTCTCAAAAAAATAAATAAATAAATAAATAAAAATAAAACATCACTATGTAACCATAAGTACAATTATTGTTTGTCAGTTAAAATACATAGCTTTTTTTTAACTTCAAACAGTGGCAGAAGTTCTAAATGAGGTTTTCTCCAACCTTCCAAAAATGTAGCAACCCTATAGAACACCACTGAAAAAGGAGAGCTCTGGCCATTGTGCAACTCTTTATCCTTCCTCTCAATCACTCATTCCGTCATTCATTCACACAATGCACATTTATTAAGCATCTATGTTATTTTTGACACTGTGAACTTAAAAAAGAATTTATGGTTTAGAGAAGAAGAAAAGACGACAGATTGTAATAAAATATATGGTCATAGGTACCAGACCCCACACGGCATGCACTGTGAGTTGACAGCGATTTTAAAGGGGGCCAGGACCATGTCCAGAGCAGCACCTTGGCCAAACCACCTGGCCAATCCCCAGAAGAGGTGTGCTTAATGAAAGGTATGAAGTGTGAAGACAAAACAACTCTAAAGATGGCTTTTGCGGTAAGAGTGACCAGTTGTTCTCCCCGTTAAATGACTTGATGCAAAGTTCCTGTCAATTTGATTTTTTTTTTCTATTTCCCAATGAGATCAACCCCATAAATTCCAAGAATAGCTTTCAAGACAGCCAAGAAAATATGCCAGCCAGCAATGCGAACCTTGCCTCACTAAATATTCTGAAGTCCTAAGATACATTTCGTCTCAGTAAAGAGCTGGTACCCAGGTGTTATATCTGCAAAATGATTTAAGCACAAAGGTCCAATTACCAGCCAGTGCTACCCCAGCTTTGCGCATAAAAATGTACATTTTATGCTTGCCTCTTAGACCGTTTCTATTTTATTCCTTTTCAATCCTAAACTGCAAAACAAAGTATAATAAAAACCGTAATAATTTTTGTAAAAGACCATATTGTTATCCAAACTCTCTTGGTGATGAATGTGAACTGGGCTAACTTTTGCCACCTCAACTCTAATTAGGTCATTTGTATATAAAAACACAAAGAACAAAAGCCTCAAAGAGTGGCAGATCCCTGTGATGCAGCCGCTGGGAAACTGTATGGCTGGAGCTATACCCATAAGTTGAAAGAAACACCTCACCCAAAAAACTCAGCAGCATCATTTCACAAAAGCACACTGACTCATTATTTTGCTATCAGGCCTTGCAGGCATCCTCTGTGGCCTTGAGGATTTGGGCGCTTTCCTGATGTGTGTGCCTAGGTGACAGCCCACGCAGGCGAGGCTGGCAATTGTCTGAACATTGCTACCTCATTCCCTCCAGCACGTCCCTCTGGTCTTTGTTGCTGATTTTCACTGCCATTGTCTGTATACCTGTGACTGTCTTCATTAGGCTGACTGGAAAATGTATCCCTGGAATCGTGTTGGTTCTAAACAGGTGGTGGGATTTGATATGTGTTATAAGAGTGGTCCCTTGTGAAAGGCAGACTTAATGTGGCCCCTAGTGAAAGGCCGTCTCCTCTGGGGGATGTGGGACAGTGGCTTTGCTTGTGAAAAGTAAACAGCCCTTTATTTTGCAAGCACCCTGATGTAGGAGCTGCAGAAGTTTCCCACATGCGTTAATTTTGTGTTTAATCAGTGTTTTGGGAATCAGATCCCTTCCTGCTTCAGGGTCCCTACCGTGATGTTAATGAGACACACGCCTCTGGGGGAAGTGAAGGAATCTGCAGGGCATGTGCTTCACCTGGAGAGGTGGAAGCGTCATCAAGCTAAGGGGGGCATGACAGATCTGGGGGCTGTGGCAGCTCAGCACATTGAACAATTGAGGATACAGAGTAGGAAGCTGCTGCGCTGAGCATACTGTGAGCAGGAAAGGACAGGCACACCTCATCCTTGGAGCACTGGAAAAAGGCACCAGAAGAGCTCGGAGCCCTGATTTTTTCCTGTGCTCCTAAAATATACCTCATTTTGCTTGTTGCTAAAACCCAGAGTACATCTCCACAATGGCAGACACTTCAGACAGAGGTAGCATCCAGAACGCCCCAGGGCAGCCTCAGGACCTGCTGCGATGCTGTGGACAGGCTGGAGAACAACCAGGGTGATGGCAGGGCTGTGGAGCACCCACCCACTGCTTGCTGTGCCTCAGTGAAATGGAATCAATGCCCTACAGATGTGCGTGGACTTTTCAGGACATGAATGCTCAAGAGGTCAGTGGTGCTGGCTGTGAAGATGACCTCTCCCCTTTGCTTCCCAGAGGCCTACGGACCAGTGAGAAATGCCCAGAGAGGCCCTGGGAACCCTTTTCCATAGTATATATCCAAAGGAATTCCATGCTGCAGGAATATAGTGCATCCGTGAAGAAACTAAAGTGGCTGCCAGCACAGAGAGAATACCTCACACCAGACACCTCCACCCTGCACCCCAGCGTGGAAAGTAAACACCACAGCAGACACCTCCACCCTGCACCCCAGCAAATTGGAAGCAAAGTGTCCTTGTAAAAAATGAACTAATCAAATCCACACACCAATAGCTAGGCCCGTCTTCCATTATGAAAATTTCATGGCTGGGCGTGGTGAGTCAAGCCTATAATCCTAGCACTTTGGGAGGCCAAGGCAGGCAGATCACCTGAGCTCAGGAGTTCAAGACCAGCCCGAGCAACATGGTGAAATCCTGTCTCTACTAAAATACAAAAACTTAGCTGGGCGTGGTGGTATGTACCTGTAGTCCCAGCTACTCGGGAGGCTGAGGCAGGAGAATTGCTTGAACCCAGGAGGTAGAGGTTGCGGTGAATCAAGATCACACCACTCTACTCCAGCCTGGGACAGAGTGTGACTCAGTCTCCAAAAAAACAAAAAGAGTCATGATTTCTGGGTTTTTTTAATTATTATTATTTAAGAAAAAAAATAAGGTGAAAACACTTCAAAGACTCAGATAAACAAAGCTCTAATGAAATTGAAGAACTCTGAACAGCAGTCGGAAAGAGATTCCTGAACTAAAGGGTTTTCCTGGCAACTCTACAATTTTCTCCTGCTGTCAATCGATGTTTTGTGGAAGATACGGAACATATGAAGGCTCACCCATCTAATTACTCTTTGTAAAAGAATGCTTTACCTTTTTAAGCTACTTTCCATATTATGCTGAAAGGTTTTTCCTCTGTAGGTTTTCAAACAGACTCTAAACATTCACCTCCAGTTCTTGCTTCCCATATGTCCTGATAAATCACTGGCCACTTCTACTGAAGCAGTTTCCCTCTGGGGATTTGGATGCCCTGACTTGAATAATTATCTTTTACTGACTGAACTTGCTACCTCCTCAAGCCTTTCTTTCTTGTTATCCTCATGTTTTAAGAATCTATGTCTGTGAACTGTGGATAGAGTCATCCTGTTCTGCCCCAACCTACAGCCATTCTGTCTGCTGTCTGAAGGGCAATTGAGAATGTCTCGGAGCCTGTGTCTGGATAGGCAGAGTCCCGCCCAATGTAGCCATGGAAGCCTCATTTCTTTTTTCTACTGTCACCTCAACCTCCTGGGCTCGAGCAATCAATCCTCCCACCTCAACCTCCAGAGTAGCTGGACTCCAGACACAACAGCATGTCTGGCTAATGCTTTTTTTTTTTTTTTTTTTTTTTTTTTGAGATGGAGTCTCATTGTGTGGCCCAGGCTGGAGTGCAGTGGTGCA